ATATATCATGTTATAATAGATTATGTTATATTACAATGTAGTATAATATATTATAATCTCTTATTATTACAAATAAGAAACTGGGGCCCAGAAAGTGAATTTATTTGGCCAACATCATATTTATAGTTCATAGGCATCTCCCAACTTTTAGTTTAATATTCTTTCCATTACATCTTATGTAGTTTTCTATACCAGATATATGCGCACCCAGAGCTGTACCTAGCAATTTTGTGCCTGGAGAAAGTGGTGCAAAAATACCACACCCACTGCAAAAAGGAGCAAAATTGGGGAAGTAGAGGTAGCAGAGACCTTTGTACGCTGCAGGAAGGGTAACAGGGCTAGGTCTGGAAGGAGCATATCTAGGATATGGCTGGCAAGCAGAGGAAAAGTCTAAAAGGTAGCTTCTTATTTTAACTAATTATTCTTGATGATGATGATGTTTCTAAACTCTTTAGTTTCTATGCTTCTAAAGGGCAAGAAAGTGTTGTCATCAACCTCTCTGAATTTTAGCTCCCAGGGGCAAAGTTGGCCCAACCCTAGTAATGGCTCTCTATATATCTAAAATCGTATCATTAAATCACACTTATGCAGTCTACTAAGTTTAATCATTAATCTGGAATGGATTTAGTATGGAAAAAGTCACAGCTGGTAACATGTTTTAATATCAGCACAATAAATGGTAAGACTAAATATTCTAGAACTTTATTGTTATTAGGAATTTGGCAAAGATTATGTATGTCAGACTGAGATTTTCTTATGTTATTCTTCTGCTGACAGTCTTTTCTTAATTTAAAATCCCAGAGTGGATTTTCATGTCCCTAAAAAAATAAAAAGAGCTATATTCTCACTTATTCTAAGTAAACATTACTAGTAGAGTGTCACAGTTGTGGTTGAACATCACAGCCATAATTACTAGTTTGTATAGTATTTGATGAACAAAAAATATTTGAAATCAATTAAGTGATCTGTTTAAAAAATAACTTTTCTTCTTTCTTTCAAAGAATGGGTCTCCCTATCTCACCTAGATTTGAAGTGTAGTGGCTACTTGTGGGCCTGATCTCATTACTACTCTTCATGGAAGTTTTGACCTGCTTTGTTTCTTTCCCCACCTCCATTTTTCCTTAGGCAACCTGGCAGTCTCCCCACCCCCCAGGGACTTACCATATCTGTGCCATACAGTGTGGATACCCAATTGTCTTAACCTACTGCAGATCAGAACTCCTGAACTTAGGAGATCCACCAACCTCACCCTCCCTGGTAGCTAGGATTGAATGTATGTACCACTATGCCCAGTGAAAAATAACTTGTTAGTTAATACTTCTGTGACAGAATTTTTTTTTGGGGGGGTCACTGTAACTTTCTCCTGCTAACTGTGCTTGGTTGAGCAGTAAATAGAAATTTGCCAGTACTTTGCTAGTTAAATGAATTGTACTTGAGATCCTCTAAACACTGTAAGAGGGAGGGGCCTACACAATTGATCAATAATTTTGAAAACATTTCACATTTTAATTGATCTTTTGTTTTTACCTCACTTTTATTTCTGTATTTGTCTTCTTCCCCCATCCCCATCCCCATCCTGCTCTACCCAGAAAAACAACCCTTATAACAAAGATTTGGGGGGTAGTGGGCTTGGGAGAGTGTGTGGAGCAGCTCAAAAAAAAACCTAACCAATACATCAACTGTGACAGTTTCAGTGTTCCATACCTATACTCCATCACCTTTGCACAGACAAAAGAGGGGTGCATTTTAGGAGGGAGAATTTTTTTTCCCTCTGGGGCCCAGCTTGCTCATTAAATTTACCCTTTTTTCATTTCTCTTTTTGGTTCTTTCCATTATCACTATGAAGTTGGTAAACAATCAGGAGATTAACTGCTAACTTGTTGGAGGAAGACTTTCACTTCCATTTTCTCCTGAGGCTACTTACCAGGAAAAAGTCGTGCTCCAAGGCTCTTTGGTGAGAATCACAGGATTTAGAACTGGTAGGAACCTTAGGGACAATTTTACAGGGAAGAAACAGGTCCAGAGAGGTGAATTCACTTGCTAGAGGTCACACAGGGTAGTATATAGCAGAGTCTTGAACTGAACCCAGGTCTTCTGATGCCAAATCCAGTTTTAGTCCCAGGTCTGCAACTCTCAAAAGCATAGGCCCTCACAAGAAGAATTATCCTACCTTAATTTCTTTGAAGTCTCATTCACCTATCATTAAACCAACCTACATTTTTAAAAGAGGGAACTTGAAAAAATGCAATCATGTAAAATGGTGTCATATAAAATGGTTTACTTCTTCCTCATTTCTTTTCCTTTACTTAACCTTTCCTCCGTCTCTCACTTGTAGTAAGAATGTGTTTAACATGCAGAAATGTGGCTAGGGTAAAGTTACAATTCATTGGGCTAACAGCTGTTGCAGGCCTTGAAGTGGGTTTCTAGTGGTGGACCACACAGCTCTTGGCCTGTCCTGTTCAGTGATTTAGATAAAGACACTAATCATGTTTATCAGATTTTCAAATAACACAAAAGGAGAGATCATGAATATGGTAGCCTACAGTCAAAATTAGAAATTATCTAGATAATCAGGAACCAATTCTAAAACCAATATTGGGGATAAGTGTAAATCCCTGCATTTAGGCTTAAGAAATCAATTGTACAAATTCAGGGAAAGATGTGATTTGGGCTTAGTTTATATGAAAAAGATCTAGGGAGTGTAGGTGGCCATAAGCTGACTATGAGTCAGTACTTTATGAATCAGTCAGTAGCTGATAATAAGGTAACACAAATTTAAAGTGCATTAATAAAATTTTAGTGTTTGGGGAAAATAGAGGTGATGTCCTTACTGTATTTTGTTGAAATCAGTGTGTCACATTTTAAGAGAGACATACAGAAGTACGTCCAGAGAAAGACAGCTAATATGGTTAATAATAAACTCCATGGGAGCAGGAAGGTGGCTTGGTGGATAGAGTGCCAGGCCTGGAGTCAGGAACACTTATCTTAGTGAGTTTAAATCTGACCTCAGACACTTTACTTGGCTGTATGACGCTGGGCAAGTCATTTAATTTTCTTTGCCTCAATTCCCTCATCTGTAAAAATGAGCTGGAGAAGGAAATGGCAAACCACTCCAGATGGGGTAACAAAGAGTCAGACAGGACTGAAAAATGACTCAAAAATAACAGACTCCATAAAGGCAGGAACTGTGCATTGATTCTCTTTGTATTGCTTATAGTGTTTTATATATATGCATTATGTGTGTGTGTGTATATATATATGCATTTGTAGTGCCATATATATGCATTATATGTATGTATGTATATGTGTTAGGCATCCACTAAATATTTGTTGAAAGAATGGATAAGGGAATTTAGAAGTTTTCCATGCCATATGAGGAATATCTGAAGGAAAGGAGGTTGTTCTTAGAGAAGACTAAGTCAAGGCATGATAGCTTTCTTCTGGTATTAAAAAGGCTGTCATGATCAAGAAGTGGAATAGTTGGGATCGATGTAAGGGAAAATTCCCTACTTCAAATCAGTTGAACAAACATTCATTTAGAAGACACAAAGATGGAAAATGACAATTTTTTACCTCAAGGAACTGACAGTCAACTAGGAGGAGATATGGCATGTGCACAATAAAAGTAAAATACAAAGTGTAGCGTGATAGAGACAAAGAAGAAAGATAAACAGATCTAGGAAATTTTGAGAGAGGAGAGAGAGAGACTTTATGAGGCACTAAAAAGAGCAGTGGAGTTGGAATCAGAGGACATGGATTTGAATCCTAATTCTGCCATTTCTTAACTGTGTCAACATGGGCAATATCTTTTGGCCTATTCTCCCTTATCTATAAAATAAAATGGTGGGGCTAGATGAGCCTAAGCACCTTTCCATCTCTAAAGATGGGATCCTTTGATTTATGGAAGAGAGGTACATGGGGAAGAGAACTCCTTTGTGAAGTTGTATCACTAGAAGCATCAAAGCAGATATTGGGTGCCACTATGCCAAAGGACACTGTAGAAGGTATTCCTACAGGAGTGCTAGCTTGTCCTAAATGACTCGCAAGGCAGTTTTCAGTTTTAAGGCACCATGTTTGTTTGTTGTTTGTTTTTGTATCATTATTCTTACCCTCTGAAACATTCATTACTCCTGTTTCCCAACTCACTTTCCCTCTAATTTTTTTCTTGCTTTTGAATATCTTTCTCCCACTTTATTCTCCATGGTTATTTTTTTTTTCATTGTGTATCCAACAGTAGCACTTCCATAGCTTTTCTGTTTTCTCACTGTGCATTCAACAACTCTGTCCTGACAAACTCAGTTCTACTATCACTCTGGCCTTTTCTTCTATTTGCTCTTAATCCCACCCTATTGTTTTACAATCACTTATCTTTTTATTTCCTGTTTTGTAGTCATATTTTTTTCATCATATTTCTTCATTTCAGTCTTCTATTATGGTTGCTCCTCCATGTTCTCAAATCATCGAAGGTCACGTGTCCCATAAATGCGTGTCATGAACATGTCGCATGACAACCCTGTTCTATCTCAAAACCCATTATACATTCTTTTGGCAGCCAAACTGCCCTTTTCTTATAGGTTACATACATTAGTACATCTCTTGCCTCCCTGTCTTTGTCCTGTTTTTTCCCATCATGCCTGAAAGGTACTCCCTCCCCCTTTCTGCCTCTTAAAATCCCTAATTTCCTTCAAGCCTCAGCAGAAGCCTTGTCTTGCACATGAAAAGTTTCTTAAGCTCCTCATCTGACAGTGTCTTCCTTCCAAAATCATCTTCTATCTATTTTGTGTACTGCCCCCCCCATATTCCTTGGCATGGATTATTTCACTTCTTTCTTTGTATTCTTAGGGCCAAGAACGGTATCTGCCACATAGCAGGCACATAATAAGTGCTCGTTGATTGATTACTAAGAATATTTAAGTTCTTTCCTCTTGTCCAAGAATTTTAGAAGTTCCATTGCAGAGAATATAAACAGTTAATGCACATTTTTTTTTTTTTGCCTCTAGAGTGACCCAAGTCACCAGATTTCAATGCTACAGATGAAGGAAGGGGAAAGATCTGATAGTGAACCTATGTCCAAGGAGAAAACATCACTCCATCCAACGTCCTCAGTAGTCAGGCTTAAAAAAAAAATTAAGTGATTATAATTACTGTGAGGACATAAGTGATAGTTACTAGGAAATCAGAGAATAAAAGCCAAGAAGTTCTGTGCTATCCCTGGATATATTGTTTTCTCCTGGGATCTGGGAGTTTTTCAGGGACTTCAAAAAAAGGGGGAGAAATGGGGAAATAAAAGACACAGCAATAATGCCCTATGTTTAGTGTGAATAATGAATCCACGCAATGGTCACATTTATTTGAATCTGCAGTATTCTAAATTATAATTGTATAAAATAGGTAATTTGTTTCAGACTAATAGAAATATGCAGTTCAAATATGAATAATGTGAGCATGTCACACGATTCATTATTTGCATTAATTACAGTCATTCTGAGTTTTGAAACATGCACATTGATTTGGGAAGTATCCTTTTGGCTGCAAAACTCTTCTTTACACTATGTGTTACTTACCTGATGTGACAGGAATTATTTTAAACCATACAAGGGTCTTCTGCCTACAGGAGATTTAAAAAAAATTTATGGCACATTAAGGCCAGCTCTTGGCATATCCACAGTCTCTACTGTATACCATCAAGGGATAGGAATAATTTCCTGAACTGTCGTCTTGGCATTTTTATACTTATGATAAAAGAAAATTGTATTTATAATAAATAGAAAATATTTATTGTACAGCATTATCAAGATCATTTGACAAAAGGCAATATCAATCAAGCCAAAAGAAAATACTTTTACAAGAAGCTTAACAACTTGTACAAACACATACACTAAAGTGAGTAATTCCTGCCCTTTGGGTCTGCTGTATGTATGTGTACATCTCCAATTTTAAGCAATTATGTTCTAAGAACTAATAATATAGTATATCTCAAGAAAACTCATACTTGTAATATTAATATTATTAAGTATTCATAATAGAGTTAGTGCTTAAAGTGTTCAAATTTCCTAAATCAGAGACTCAGGACAAATTGTCTTCTTACATTATTGGAATAACAGGAAGCTATTTTCCTCATCTAATCCAGCTTTGTAAAGAAAACTGGAAAGTACAAGTCCTGTAATACTAAGGACATATGCCAGTGGCATTAAGACAAAAATATATTTGACTAATAATAGATACTCTGCTAATTTGCTTGCCAATTTGTGGAAATCAACCTACAAGACATTATGATGTTTGCCTTTTTCTTTTGTCTGCTTCAACTAGCTGAAAATCTGAGATTTGAAGCTTACATTTCAGTTGCAAGGTGCTGAATTTTCACCAAAATTGCTTAAAAATAATTTTAGTTAAGGAAAGTTTATTCAAATTTTACATAACAAACTGGATGAAATTGGCAGTGATTAATGTCAAAACAGATAAAGAAAGTCAGCATAAGCACTAAGTGGTGAATTAGACAGTGGATGCTAACCAAATATCTTAACACTGTGGATACTTTTTATTATAGGGGCCTGGATTGGAATTTGGCTGGAAGAGAGTTTGTTAAAAATGAAACTGGGGATAAGTAATAAACCAAGGGTGAGAAACGTTCCAAAAACAAAGGAAGAAGTCTGACTGATTATGGATATGTGTTTGGTCCTACCAGAGTGAAATGAACTTTCTAAAACATTTTATTTCAGAAAATCTGTATTGCCTGGAGAAATGACTGGAAAGCAGGATGATTAGCTTATATGTCAATGGACATTAGCCAGTCATAACTCGTCTCCCTAAATAGCAAACATAAAGGTGAAGAAGAATGCTTAAAAGAAAGACCAGAAAGAAGGCTCCAAGCAAAATAAAAATACCGATAATGACTGGGCAATCTGCAGTAGTCTTAGTTGTTTGTGTCCACTTTAAGCACTAAAATCGTAGAAATTTTAAATATCGAAGCAACAAGAAATATTCTAAATACTGTATTTTTCAATCTTAAGTTTTAATACTGGTGTGTGCAAGCAGTATAAAATGCACCTTTTTGTTGTCACCCATACTTTTTTTTGCAAACATTTAATATGACAAATCCTTGAAGCACTTAAATTATTAATAATCTACCCACATCATAAAACATCTGCAAAACAAACTCCAGTTTAGCAGGGTAACACTGTCTTAGCTGCATATGAAAAATGTTTGAGAGCACAGCATACAAACCTGCAAACAGCTACTTACTGTATATACTTATAACAATGCTATATAGAAAACATGATTTGAACATAAAAATATCAATACTATATCTGTAGGACAATCTTTCAGTGGCAGTTGACATTACATTTCACACATAGAGGCACAAGCACACACAGACACGGGACATATTTGTTCACTTCCTTTTACAATAACTTTGGCGACAACAGGAAATAATTGCTTTTCAGCTAAAGTAGTCATCTTTGCTAGGAGTACACAACTATCTTCAAAGATGAAGCTACTGCCCTAGTAACACAGAAGAACAATGAAGCCACGTAGTAAATATACTTGTTACAGAAGGTCAATTGGTAAATATTATTTGCTACAGTAAATGTAGGGTAACAGTTTAGCCACAGGATTTGTTCTGGTCAACAAATGGGCAGCTCCAAGCCCTTGGCACGATTTAAGTTCCACACACAACAAAGGCCCCCAACTCTATTTGGTCTCTGGTTCTGACCCCTTTTCAAAATCAGCAAAAAAAACACAAAACAAAAACAAAACAAAAAACTAATGTGAGAAGCTGAGTGTGCTGAAAGAAACACTTTGTGGTGACGTTTTTCTTATTTTCCCCTTCAGGCTGTTTTGCCAAATAAAGATAAGTCACCGAACAGCAGCTTGGGGGCACAGAACTTTCTTCCGGTGGCACAGCAAGGTTGACGTTGGGGCTCTGGTGGAAAACACTAGGAATTAGGTCCTTGGTTCCACTTCAAATTCTGACGTTGTCATTCGAGTTACAGCGTCCGCTCAGAGACCCCTATAGTTTGTACACAGGTGAGGGTCTCACGTGGGAGAGAAGAGGTGTAGAGAAGAGGGGAGAAGCAGTCATACCACCTGTTTCCAGGGAGCTTCACACGGTTCTCTCTTCAGCCAATGAGGGTCTTGGCCTCCCAAATTCCTTTGCCCCGCCCTCACCTCAAACACCCCCCCCCCGTGTGCTAATGATTTAATCAATGAGTTTGCTTTTTACGGTGGTCTGCGTGCTTATGGATGATCCTGTGCAAGAAGAATTTTAAAAAGCAAAACAAAGCAAAAACAGTAACATTCTTTTGCCCTCCCTATTGTACAGCCATAGCGTCTGGGCTTGTGCTTTGTCAGAATCCTCTTCCTGCAGCTAGAGCACACTTTTGAATAATTCAAGCATCAAAGCTCTCTGGTGAATAGATCACTGGTTAGGAGAGAGACCCCGACCCCCCCCCCCCCAGTACTTGGATCAGCATCGGATCTGTCTTCCCCGGATTTCTTCTCCCAGCCTCTTCAGCTCCCCTTACTCCTGTGACTGACCCCAGGCTCCGTCCCCTTACAGGGTGGATGAGCTTTGCTTATAGTCCCTCAGGATGACCGAGGCGTAGGTGACATTTGGAGGGGTACAGAGCACTGACTCGGACACGGGCGAGCTCGGCACCGAGCTGCCCGAGGCCACCGAGTCTCGGAAGGGCGACGGAGGCGTCAGGGCAGGGGAGGCGTCGGGGGTCAGTTTGCCTGTGGCTCGGAGCCCCCCTTCCTCCTGCTCTTCTTCATCCTCCTCGTCCTCCAGCTCATCTTCCTCCGTGTCCCCCCTTTGCTCGTATATATACTCCTGGAGGAGCTGGAATCTCTCGCTGTCCCCCTCCTCGGCCGGGGGCGAGATGGGCTCATCGCTGAAGGTGCTCAGCTGGAGGGGAAGCACTTGCTGCTGCGGCAGAGGCAGAGGCAGAGGCGGAGGCTGCGGGGCCGGGAGCTGGTAGAGGGGCCGCCCCCCGTTGCCCGGGACCCCAGGGCCCACCAGCACCTCACTGAAGCTGTTGAAATCCGGGATGCTGGCCACGCCCTGCAGCTGGTCCAGAAGCAGGAGCTCCTGGGGCTGGGGCTGGGGCTGGGGCTCCGGCAGGGGTGGGGGCTGCTGCAGCGGCGCCGGCAGGCCTCGGGCGGTGGCCGGCTCCTTCCGGAACAAGGAGGGCTCGTCTACCACCACGTGGGCTGGGAGGGGAGGAGTGGCAGGGGTCACCCGCCTATGCACCAGCCTTGAAGGGCTGCAGGCTGGGCTGAAGCGCACGGGTGGCTCGCTCTCCTCTTCCTCCACCACGTTGTACAGGGTCTTGGTGCTGATATCTGAAAAAGTCAGGCTCTTGCCCGAGCCTTGATAACTTTTAGTGAGGGGTTTGATCACCGCTGTCTGGTTGCAGGCTGTCTCGTTGCTTTTCACGTGTACAGACAGACGGTGCCACATGTGCTGTCCCTTGGGCACCTCTCTTCCACCTGGTTCAGACCATGACACAGACTTGCCATTAGAACTATGAATAAAATAAAGATGGATTTATTTGCATAGACATCATGCATACAGATTGCATAGCCATATAAAACCCAGGACATAATCCCTGGATGCCCAACCCATTATTGGGTTCATCCATGTCCCTCTCCCCACCCTGACCGTGTCCAACCCCTTTCCTCATCACTTAACATTTACTATAGTTTATGACTGACCATCCTGCTTTCACCTACCCTCCACACCCTCCCCATTAAAGCAGCGGACAAGACTGAGAAAGGATGCTAGAACAACTGTTATTGTAAACTTTTATAAAAGAGATTTAAAAAAAAAAACCTCCCACAAAATTCAGGCAATGGCATAATGGGCAGTACATGCAGTTTCTGTCAAAGACTGAAAAATAATATGGAAAGAAATTTTAGAAGACAACCCAAACCTTAGCATTAGGCAGCAGAAGGAAGTCATTAATGATGACAGATAACCCTTCCCTTCTCATCCCCAAGACAAATTAAGGCCCAGATATTAAATTCTACAACCTATCCTCATAAAATTAGAAAGCTATTCACTAAGTTACCAGTTCTGATTTTCAAAATGGTCTAAATGGTTGACATTTCACAAGGTAGTTTTGCAGGACAGGGCACCTGTACAGAAAGGGGAAAGGATATTTGACAGGAAAAAAAAATAACAATTTTGTTCCTTTAGGAATGGCAGTGGTATTAAATCCCACACAGTTTGAGTTATTCCTTGAAGTGGGAGCAGCATCACTAAAATCAATAGTGAATTTTTTTAGACATAAAAGATCCTGATTCAACCCAGCTGACAGGAATATGTGTTTGGGCAAGGGGAAGCCAGGCCAAAAATAGTGACAAATTGAAATCAGGTAAAGAATTGAGACCTTATCAGTGAAATTTTTTGGTTTCTCTCCTTCCTGAAAGAAGAACTTCAGGGGCACTCATAACAGCAATGCCACATTTGTCCCTGTTATCATGGAAAGCTTTTGAACAACTTCTTTCCCTGTGAGGACAAAAAAAAATGGGATTTATTATGTGTATGAAAAGTCTATTATTTCTACTGTGATCCCACTGGGAAGACTCCGGGTCTAGGTGTTTTGTGTGTGTGTGTAATAGATACTAGCACCTAATAAAATTTCTTCTATTATTAATATTGATGATGTTAATTCTATTTTTTTAATCCTACCTTAAGAAGTTAAGAAAGCTCTCATAGGCAAACTTAGCACAACCCAACTTCTAGTGCCAGATATAATATGTGACTTTCTATCTCTACTATAATAAAACATCCTCAGAATCAGAAATGTCATTTTCTTTGACCCTTTTTGCCATCTCTGAAAGATATCAACACATTGTTTTGCATTTGTATATTTGCAAAATCTTAGCTCTGTGTCCCAATCCATTTCACCCTTGAGTTAATTTGGGGCTTGACCCTGAAGTTAGCTAGTGTTGTTAATAGATTCTCATCCATATGAAATGGAAAGTCTTGAATGCTTTAAAAAATTTCTTTCAGGAGTTTGCCTCCCTCACACTCCATTGTATTCATGGAAGTACTCAAGAAAGCAAAACAATGCTAACACATTTGTGAAATTATAAGGAATTTGTGTGGAAAGTATTTTTTTTTAGATGCAGTTGTGAGATAGACTGTATGTTATGTGAAATCTTCTGTTTAGAGAAAAAGCAGGCAAGTTTTAATTCTCAAAGATGGCTTATCTACGTATTTTTAAATTGTGAGGAGAAATACTTCCAGAAACATCCATATTTATGATGAAGGTAATGTTTTGACATTTTAGATCTGAAATTCTGAAAAGAGAAGTAAGCCAAATGTGTGAAGGCTGGAGCAGGAGCTTTTACATATTTACTAAACAATAGTTAACAGGGAGAATTTTGTGCTTATTTTTTGGATAATAAGTTTGTATTGACCTCAGATAGGACACACTCCCTTCCCTAGACCCTGCTCCCTGAAAATATGACTTATGTGAAACCCAAATGCCATTTGTAATTTGTGTTACTTTCTCACGTGTACATATATGCATACACATATGTATATTATATATGACATATATAATGTCTTTTTTTCCCTTTTCACAGAGATCTGATTTTGAGAACAGCCTGTATTAGGTTGAATCAATATTATAATTCTGTATAATTTATTTGCTCCTCTGTTTTTAATTATAATTACAGTGTATTTTGTAGCATAGCAAATTGCTTTTCAGGATGATGAAGAAAATATAATTTCTGAACCAATTTGTCATTTTATCAGTGTGAGAACTCCCTCAACCTAGACAGATTACAAACTATCTATAGCTTTAGATATCTGCTTGAAACACCAAGAGGCTGAAGTACTTACTAAGCCACGCAAATAGTCAGTATCAGATGTTGGAATTAAATGCTGGCCTTCTTGACTATAAGTATAGCATTGTATCATAATACTGCATCTCTTTGTCAAAATGAATAATAATCCTTGGATCATATAAAAATCAAAGTGTTTGTAAGTGCAAAATTACTGAATTCTTTAAAATCTTCTTACTAGGCAGTTAAGATGTTGCGCTCCCTCTCTTTTATAGCTGGAGGGATGAAGGAACAGGAAACTGATGTCACTGGTCCAATGAGGAAGCCAGAAAAGGAAATACAACCCACAAGACTCTAGTAATCTGATTGGATAAGTCATGCTTACCTTTTACTTTAGCATCTCTTATTACTCCATTTCCTACCGTTCTTCTTAAAGTAGTCTTTTTTTCTCCTTGATACCCAACATTTCACCCAGAGAGATTAGAAAGCCTTCTATTTGGCCTTATACTTGCCTCCATTTATCCTCTACTACCCATCTCACTCCACTATCTAACTGACCTAAATTTTCATTATTTTAAATTGTAATGGGAAATATTTCCACGTCTACATGGTTTCGCTTTCCCTCTTCTTGTTAAAGCAAAACAAAATATTAGACATAAATGACATGTTATGTTTTCATTAAAGGAGTGGCGTATAGGAGAGATGAGGACTTTCCCAGGAAGCCCAGATCCTTTGAAAGCCACAATCTCACCCTGCTCTCTAGCAAAACATCTCATAAGGCCCAACATACGCTGGCAAATGTCTCTATTCTCTTACCAGTAAAAGTAAGGTAACCCCACTCACTCCACCCGCTCTGTAAAATGGATTGTTTTCCTCACTCTCAAGGGGGTTCTGTGTAGGTCTCTTTATATCACATACCACTTTAGTCTCCATCTGCTTAGAGTATTATTAATTATCTGGCAGGCAGAGAAAATCACAAGTTAGTTCTGCTTTTATCCAATACAATTTCTATCTCAATGATAAGAGATTATCACAGTGGTTCTCAATGCCAGGTCCTTGTTTACCCCTCTGGATTTACTGTAAATGCACTGTGTAATTAGATGAAGATTTAAGATCCTAAGGGTATTTCTGGAGGCTTAGTAAATTAGACTAAACTCATTTTAGGACAAAAGAAATTACATTCCATCCACTTGGGGCAAAAAAGAAAAGGGGTGGGGCATCATCCCATATAAATTATAGTATGCAGTATAGTTTTAGATCTCCTAGATAGAGTAGGGAGGAATTGTGTGTGGGGGGAAGACAGGGAGGAGGGATTAAATGAACTCAGAATAATTCCCCAGAAGTTTATTGTTCCTATGAAATACAAAGCCCACTACTTCATTCTAATAGCTTGACTTGGCTTTTCTTGAATTCCTGACTTCATCTCTTTTACTCCGTCCAGTTAGATTGAATTTAGTACTCTGAATGACAGCAGTTTGGTTTGGGAAATTGCTTTTACTTTCCACAGAGAAGCTCATCCCTATCTTCCTGGCCTCATCATACTTGAGCCCTTGGAATCATGCCTGTCATATATAGTGGAATAGCTATGTATGAAGGTGTGGAATTATGATTTTTTATAATAATTGATATGATATATGTAATGGATATGCTGATCTATCAGATTTTTCAGAATTGCCTTTTCTAGCTCATGAGTCAGAAACTCACAATGCAGCTTGAACTGATCAATCAAAACTTTGACTACTCCCACAATCACTTGCATTTGTGTGCCTGTGTACCTGAAGTGAATCGAATCATAGTGTAGAACCTGTTCCCATCACAGAAATCTGGTCCCGTGACCCACCAAATAATGACCCCCAAAGACTCGAGCAATACTATTTCTACAGAACTTCAGGACACCTGTACCTTAGTATTATGGGATTTGTGGGCTGGTCATGGGAAACCTTTCTGGCCCTGGAACGATTGTTTGTAATCCACCTTCCCCGCTCCCACTTGTGATTTATGTATATAATCTCTGTCTTCAACAAGGTGGAATTCTGATCAGGAGAATTCCCGATTTTCAAACCTATTCCTCATAATGAAACTAATTAATTAAATAGCTACCTGATTATTGGCACTTTGTCTAGGGCCTGCTGTTTCATCATTCTCAGGTTAGAGACTATCTCAGTAAAATCCTGTTAATAAAGAGAATCATCTTTCTCCTGAGCTCCAGGCCCACATCACTAACTTCTTGTTGGATATTTTGAACTGTCCTTTAGTCTGACTGACTGACTGTCCTTAAGTTGTTTCAGACTCAACATGTCCAAAATAAAACTTATTATCTTTTCCCCAAAGCCTATTTCTCTAATGAACCTCCTTATCACCATCAAGGACACTACCATTCTTCTAGTCACCCAGTTTTCAAATATGATGTCACCCTTGACTCTTCATTCTCACTTACCCCACTTAAGCCATCAGTTTCCAAAGCTTATCATTTCTGTCTCTACAACATTTCTTCAATATATCCCTTTCCTCCACTCACAAGACCACTGCAATAGTTCAGATCCGTATCACCTTTACCCTGGACTATTGCAATAGTCTCCTAACTGGTCTCCAAGCCTTTAGGTTCTCTTTATTTTAATTTATTTTCCATAAGCCAACAAAATAATTTTCCTAAAGTACAGATCTCATCATATCACCCCCCCTGCCCCCCACACACACTCAAAAAATTTCATTAGCACTCTGTTACTTT